TTATGAAATCTGCCTGATTGAGCCTTCTCTTTGTCCATATGAGGAATACCCCGGGATAAGAGTGATGGAGGAATGGCTTTCCTATCTAACAGTATATGCCTGAATATACCATAAGAGGGTAATGGTATTTAGCATCTACTTTGGCTGGAGTATATAGGATATTGGTACCTAGTATCACTACTCACCTGAGATTGGAGTGATCACGAGTTCTCGCGTTTATTTTGATTTATTGATTTTTCACTATTTTTTGGTGTGATTTGAGTTTTGCACAGTGTGAAGCATATATATATGTTTGAGGATATATTACACTATGATATATTTTTCTTTTTACTTTTGAGGATAACAAGGCATTTTTGGAGTATCGTCTTGCTTCACTGAACACATAAAGAACGTTTTTTGTTTTTCTTGGGATTTTTGGACATTTATTTATTTATATTACATACCTTTTTGGCGATTTGGACACTTATTATTATTATTATTAATTTTTTGGTGATTTGGACACTTTTATATACATTTTTTTTTTTTTATTTTTGTAATTTTGATTGGTATATTTGATGATTTTGAATATATATTAGAGGGAGATTTATTATTATTTCAGATTTGATCATCACCTTTTGGATTATGTGGGTTTATTGAAAATTGCTGCTGGAAGGTAAGCCTCCACCCCAGTTCTATGTCTTTTGCAGATTCTAACAAGTTTTCTTCTAAGATTGCCCTGTATTTGGCTCCATCCATCTGCCGATCAACTCTGACCAGCCTCCCTGTCCCTTCGGAAGAAAAGCATCTCTACAACATGATGCTGCCACCACCATGTTTCACGGTGGGGGATGGTGTGTTCAGGGTGATGTGCAGTGTTCCCCACATGGCTTCTTGCAAACTGCAAACAGTACTTCTTATGGCTTTCTTTCAACAATGGCTTTCATCTTGCCACTCTTCCATAAAGGACAGATTTGTGGAGTGCACGCCTAATAGTTGTCCTGTGGACAGATTCTCCCACCTGAGCTGTGGATCTCTGCAGCTCCTCCCGAGTTACCATGGGCCTCTTGGCTGCTTCTCTGATTAATGCTCTCCTTGCCTGGCTTGTCAGTTTAGGTGGACAGCCATGTCTTGGTAGGTCTGCAGTTGTGCCATACTCTTTGCATTTTCAGATGATGAATTGAACAGTGCTCCTTGAGATGTTCAAAGCTTGGGATATTTTTTTATACCCTAACCCGGCTTTAAACTTCCCCACAACTTTATCCCTGACCCGTCTGGTGTGTTCTTGGCCTTCGTGATGCTGTTTGTTCACTAATGTCCTTTAACAAACCTCTGAGGGCTTCACAGAACAGCTGTATTCATACTGAGATTAAATTGCACGCAGGTGGAATCTATTTACTAATTAGGTGACTTCAGAAGGCAATTGGTCCCACTAGATTTTAGTTAGGGGTATCAGAGTAAAGGGGGCTGAATACAAATGCACGCAATACTTTTCAGATATTTATTTGTAAAAAATTTTGAAAAACATTTATCATTTTTCTTCCACTTCACAATTATGTTCCACTTTGTGTTGGTCTATCACATATAAAATCCGAATAAAATACATTTACGTTTTTGGTTGTAACATGACAAAATGTGGAAAATTTCCAGGGGTATGAATACTTTTTCAAGGAACTGTATTTGACACTCGAGTCAATGAAATCAACATCTAAGTACAGCCCCAATTTAGGAAAAGTGTAGCAATTGTGTCCTTCCCTATCCAGGGTATCCATGGTGAATGTTCCCTTTGCAGAGGCAGCTCAGCTCTCCAGGACTGTCTGACAGAATTACAATGACTTGTGACATTTCATAGAGACATGTCCTTGAAGCACCACAAGAATCACAGTAAGGGATTGTCTGATGTCTCCAAACTGGCCAAGAAATACACGGCAGACCACAAATAAGGTCGCGAACATTATAGGAATTTTATATTTCATTTAGTTACAACATGCTGGTTCATGACACTTCAGAAGTATTGCATGTATATATTCTAAACCATCTGATTTCCCACAATTGTCTACAAACTCTACAAACATACACACTTTTAAAGCCTACCTCCAGGCAAAACCTTTGTTTTGGGTAGAGTGGTTAAGGATGAGGTGCTCTGTCTGTTTGTTTACACAAATGATTTGACATTAAGGTTTTGACTGAAGGTAAGATCTGTTTATAGAGTGTTTTTTCTTTTCTCTTTATTTTTTTTTTTTTATATATATATAACGTGCTACGAGAATTCCAATGACCCTTTCACACCAGCCATGTTCATTTCCATCAGCAGGGAGTCCATGAATAGATCCCTTGCTGAATTGGACAGTACGCATGTCACTTTGAGGATATCACTTTGCTTTTGCTCTCCTGGAATAGTGGAACTACACTTCATCTGAGCACCACAAACCAAAAATGCTATTTAATTCATTGGTAATATTCGCAGCAAACTCACCCATTCATCCATGTTTCCATGCATTATTTTGCAAAAAATAATTTTGAAGAACACCCCCTGGCATTTCTGGCAGTGGCCATCTTGAGTAAGGGCAGATGATTCATGTAGCATTTACTTCCTAGAATCCATCTGCCCTTAGCTCAGGCATTGGCTGAGCTGAGAACCCTCCCTCCCCTCCTGAAGTTTGCTTGGATGTATGACAGCATTTGCCTAGGCAAAAAAACAGAAAGGAACTGAAGAAAATAAAAAAAAGTTTAAAACAAGTAAAAATATGATACACTTTCCTATCTATTTACTAATGCTGGCAGCACAAGGATTAGGAATAGTCCACGTTGATTGAGAGAGTGACGTTCCGCTTAAGCCGTGGTTCACATATTTGCCTTTCCGCGGTCTGCGTTTTGATCGGGCACGAGAGCTCATTCATTTGAATGGACTCCCATGCCCCGGGACATGCAGGGAAGAAGTTCCTGCACTTCTTCTGAAAACGCGGCCCACACGGGAACCTCGGTTCCCAGTACGGCTGCGATTTCCAGTGCAGGCAGCTCTGCCATTAGAACTAATGGCACACGCCCTCGGGTCCGCATTCTTCTGTGCGGGTGGTGTGGCTGCATGGATTATTGTGCAGATCCGCAGCCGCATCACCCGCACAGATGTGAACCTAGCGTTAAAGGACCCACATTAGGTCTATGGGTAGGTGGATGTAACCAAAATGTGCATCCATTTACATCCCAATACCTCAGATGTGTCATATTTATGTCTGAAAAAAGAAAACTAATGCAGATCTTTTGCGTTTTTTTTTTTTTGTGTGACCTAGTCAGACTTGGAGGTAATCTGATCTGCGTGCCCATAGACTAATTGGAGCTTCTGTTCAGATCAATCTCAAAAACTGACAGGCAGATCTGATTGGCCCGCCCATGTAAAAGGGCTCTAAGGCTAGTTAAAAATATTAATATTTCTCCTGTTGAGCCCGTGAGGATGAGTGACAGGAATCTCTAGATTCTCCCATCCATGCTAATCAGTATAGATCAGTGTTTCTCAACCTTTTCTCAGTCAAGGCACCCTTTAAAATTATGGACAGCCCCGAGGCACCCATTAAAATTATGAACAGTCTTGAGGCACCCCATTCTAAATTAGGGTGCCTCAAGACTGTCCATAATTTTAAAAGGGCACCCCATTCTACAATGCAAAAACCTATTCTAATAGTTCTATGTAACGCAGCAACATCCACACATGTAGGACATCCAACATTAGAGGTGATTTATTCTTTCAAAGCAAATACACTTTTGCACACTGGTACTGACTAGTATTCCATTGTTTCTCTTCTCTCTCTCAGTTTTTCTCCATCACTGAGCTAAAGTGACCCCAGCAATGATGGTAATGGACAGGAGAGGGTCAAACTAGGATGCTGTGCACACAGCTATCATCCTCCTTATCAACTGATGACGTCATTGGTTGTCAGGACGCTAACGATTAGAAGGTCGTAATGGTGCACGATGGAAACCTGTGGCTTTGTGTAACTAAAAGGCAGGCTTGTCCCCCACCCGCTGGCTTGTATACAAATTTTGGGCAATTTTTAGACATTTTGCCAAGGCACCCCTGAAGAAACCTCAAGGCACCTCGGGTGCCTGGGCACCCTTGTTGAGAAAGGCTTATATACATGAAGAAACCTCCACTGAAGGCTATAGACACAGCACCTGCAGCTATTGAGCCCAACTGACTCAGGATCATCCCTGGAGTTCAGTTTTAAGGCCTCGTTTACCTTTGCTCTCCCCTCAGGAGAGTGATCCGCACTCGGATTGCTATTCAGTTGGCATTCGTCAGGCAGGGAAGATGCTTTATAGTGCCTCCTCACTGCCTGTTTTAACACCTTTTCAGGTAAAACCTGCCAAAAGCAACAGTGGGGATCATTTTTACTGTGCTCGATTGCTCGAAGCATTGTGCCTGTGCCGTATATAAACCCCCCTCCGCTTCATTTGCAGCTTAAGGGGGAGCAGTTGGGGGACAGTAAAAATGCAGCTCAGAAATGCTTTTTACTGCCCCCCCCCAAACCCCAAATGTAAACGAGGCCTAAGAGATCAGTCCAATTTGTGTACTGAGATAATATATTATTTGCAATGTTTAGGGCTTTCCCCATTATTCAAATGCATCGAATTTTTCCTGATGGATTGAAAACACCAGAAGAATGACAGGTGAAGGTCTGATCACTGGTAAATGAATGTATCTGGAGACTGTACTAATAGCTGTTTAATGCTGCAATCACAGCGAACTATGTCATACTGACTACACCGTACAACTGAAAGTGATATATGAACTGATGGCTCACATTTCAGCATAGCTTCATAAATGAGGGATGTGATCAGCTTTACTAACTTGCTTTCAGTGTAAAAGCCTGCAGTCTGTGCTTATCCACACCGGACATGACAATATTTACTTTACTGATTTATGGGGGGTTATTTACTAAAACTGGAGAGTGCAAAATCTGGTGTAGAGCTGCATAGAAACCAATCAGCTTCCAGGTTTTATTGTCAAAGTTTAAAGTGTTACTAAACCCAGGACCCTGCATTCACTATATATCTGGTCTCCCCGGACCCTGCATTCACTATATCTGGTCTCCCACAGTACACACAACATGGAAATGCAATTATTTTAGTAAATATAAACTGCTAAACAAGTTTTCTAATTGGCAGTTAGAGCAGTCTTGTGACTTCTATCAGTGTCCAGCAGAGCACTGGTTAAAGCTTGTAGGAGGTTTTTTCTTTCTTCTCTTGGAGGATGCAGAACCCCTGACCTCTGTCTGGACAGTGCTGATTGGCCCTGTGCTGATCACATGCACTCTCCCAAGAAAAAAACAAAAAAAAACTCCTCTCTTCACATGCTCAGTTTGGTGTGTATTGCTAGGGTGACTCCACACGATATGTCTTATCAGGAGATAAGAGGGGGACACTGGAAGAAGGGGAGGATCAGAGAGAAGCCAGGATCAAACAGTGTTTTTACACAATGCAGAGCATTAACCCCTTAGGTTCCACAGTGCGTATAACAAGCATGACTTACTGCAAATACAGTCTGATTTTACGGCTGTGGGCTTAGTAACACTTTAACTTATTACTGTAAAAAGTCAGCATAGCTTCTGTGTGGTCAAGTTTTTTTTTTCATACCTTCTTGAGATAATATAGACCTCGACCAAGAAAAAAGTTTGATATGTAGCTTTCTTCTGTAAGCCTGGCTTAAATTTTGTTCTGCTCTTTGATGTGCAGCATGATTGTTTGTACAGAGTTAAAGTGTTACTAAACCCAGGACCCTGCATTCACTATATCGGGTCTCCCACAGTACACAGAACATGGAAATACAAATATTTTAGTAAATATAAACTGCTAAATACCTTTTCTCAACAGCAGTTAGAGCAGTCTTGTGACTTCTATCAGTGTCTAGTAGAGCACATGTTAAAACTTGTAGGAGGAGTTTTCATTCTGCTCTAAAATGATGCAGAACCCCTGACCTCTTTCTGGACAGTGCTGATTGGCCCTGTGCTGATTACATGCACCCTCCCAAGAAAAAAAAAACCTCTAGCAATGCACACCAAACTAAGCATGTGCAGAGTGACTCCACACCATATGTCTTATCAGAAGATAAGAGGGGGGCTGCAAGAAGGGGAGGATCAGAGAAGTCAGGATCAAACAGCGTTTTAACACAGGAGGATTAACCCCTTAGGGTCCACAGTGAGTATAACGAGCATGCTTTACCGCATATACAGACTGATTTTACTATTGTGGGTTTATTAACACTTTAATTGAAAAATCTGAAGTTAGAAGCTGATTGGCTACCATGCGCAGCTGCAGCAAATTCTCAGTGCTCTAGTTTAAGTAAATCAACCTCACTGGGGATAACAGACACCCCAAGTTTGCTGACAATGGGGCTGACTTTAAAACTTCAGGATCTATTCACACATGCCTGCACACTAAAACAATCCATTTTAGTTTGCAGGCTGCTGTCCAATCTATGCCTGTGTTGGGGAAAAGTGCCCTGTGTTTTACCGGACACTGTTTACCTTTTTTTGTTTCAAACTTTATTGAAACGTCCAAGTTTAATTCATGCCTATCTACTACAGCTGAGATGTGGCGATCAGTGCAGTCTCTAGGGGAGCCCCAGGGTGTGGCAGCATGACTGCATTTTTCTGCACTGCAGTACTATGGTGTGAATGAGGAACCTATCGTTTTCTATGTGAACCTACAATACAGTTGTGTCCAAAATTATTCAACCCCCACTGAAATTGAGTGTTTTGGCCAGTTTGACATTGCTTTTGATCATTCAGTCATCTTGCTTACATTTACATTAAAGAGGCACTTGTAGGTCAGACAAATATAACATAACAGTTATAATGAAATAACCACAAATGTCTTTTCTGTGCTCACAGCATTATCAGTTTTATTCAACCCCCAAGTGACATTCAATCTTAGTACTTAGTACAGCATCCTTTTACAGTTATAACAGCTTTTAAACGTGAAGCATAGCTTGACACAAGTGTCTTGCAGCGATCTACGGGTATCTTCGCCCATTCTTCATGGGCAAAGGCCTCCAGTTCAGTCACATTCTTAGGCTTGCGCACTGCAACTGCTTTCTTTAAGTCCCACCAGAGGTTCTCAATCGGATTTAAGTCTGGTGACTGCGATGGCCACTCCAAAATGTTCCAGCCTTTCCTCTGCAACCATGCTCTAGTGGACTTGGAGGTATGCTTGGGATCATTGTCCTGTTGAAAGGTCCAACGTCTCCCAAGCCTCAGGTGTGTGACGGACTGCATCACGTTTCCATCCAATATCTCCTGGTACTGAAGAGAATTCATGGTACCTTGCACACGCTGAAGCTTCCCTGTACCTGCAGAAGCAAAACAGCCCCAAAGCATGATTGACCCTCCACCATGCTTCACAGTAGGCAAGGTGTTCTTTTTATCATAGGCCTTGTTCTTCCTCCTCCAAACATAGCGTTGATCCATGGGCCCAAACAGTTCTAATTTTGTTTCATCAGTCCACAGAACACTATCCCACAACTTTTGTGGTTTGTCCACATGGCTTTTGGCATACTGCAGTCGACTCTTCTTATTCTTTGGAGACAGCAAGGGGGTACGCCTGGGAGTTCTGGCACGGAGGCCTTCATTACGCAGTGTGCGTCTTATTGTCTGGGCTGAAACTTCTGTACCCACATCTGACAAATCTTTTCTCAGTTCCTCAGCAGTCACACGGGGACTTCTCTCCACTCTACGCTTCAGGTAGCGCACAGCAGTCGAAGTCAGCATCTTCTTTCTGCCACGACCAGGTAGCGTTTCAACAGTGCCCTTTGCCTTGAATTTGCGAATGATGCTTCCTAAGGTGTCTCTTGGTATGTTTAACATCTTTGCAATCTTCTTATAGCCATTGCCCTTCCTGTGAAGAGAAATCACCTCTTCTCTTGTCTTCCTGGACCATTCTCTTGCCTTCACCATGTTTGTAACCACACCAGTAAATGTCTAGAAGGAGCTGAGTATCACAGTCATTTTAAAGCTGCCTAATTGGTGCTTATTATGCTTGATTGCTGCTCGGTGACATCCACAGGTGTTTTCAATACCTGATGGAAAGCACCTGTATGAACCTCTGTTCTTCAGAGTGGTAGTCTTTAAGGGGTTGAATAATTGTGGCAATGAAGAAACCACATAAGAACCATTTACTACTGTATTACATAAACAATTGATGTCATTTTAGTTGCATTTGGGTAGTTACAACGTCCTTGTAGGATTTGATTCTGAATACAATTCCAAATGTACACTATAGTCCCTAAACCCCTTTACAGCATTGGGGGTTGAATAATTTTGGACACAACTGTAAATGCCATTCATTATGTGCAGAAAAGCACATCATTGCACATATTGTGAATGGACCCTTAGGCCTGGTTCACACCTATGAAGTGTGATATTGATCCATTTCTGAAAAACTTTTGGCGATGCGTTTTTGCACACACTTTTTTTTGTGTTTTCACACTTTTTTTTGACTCATTTAGCATTTTTTATGCTTTTTTTGGCCAGTTTGTTGCGCAGCTTAAAAAAACACAGAATGCATCAAAAACGCACTAAACACTCTCCATTGAAGTCTATTAAACCAAAAAATGCACTGTTTTGCATTTAAAAACATCCCCGTCCCTTTCAAAAAATGCAGCGGCTGAAAAAAGCATAGATTGAACGGGGCTCATAGGAAACCATGTTAAATGGACTGTAGTACGTTTCAGCAAAAAGCACCAAAAACACATAGGTGTGAACAGGGGCAGACTGACAACTCATGGGGCCCCCGGGCAATAGGGGATCATGGGACCCCTGTGTCCTTGCCCAAACTCAAAAAAGCCTATGAAAAAGGTACCAAGGGCATCTCATGGGGCCCCCTACTGACCCCGAGCCCTCGGGCAGTGCCCGAGTTTCAAAATGGTCAGTTGTGAACCAATGCTTACTGACACTAGGAACACTATTTTACTGGTAACAGAGGCTGAATTTAAATGACATTAATGGTTGGCATGAATCACCCTTGCAGGTCTGTGGGAACCTTATCCATCACCATTTACTGTCACCAATACTGTATTCCTAACCTTTTCCCAACATTAATTGATGTACTCCATATATCAAATATAATCCAAAAGATGGACTGCAATTGAACATTTCGACACGCATGGCACCTCATCGGACTACATCTGGATTTGTCTTCATTTTATAGCATGCATGTAATGTGATCGGGATCATGTGTTAGCCAGAAAGTAAAAGGGTGTAATCTAAGGGCTCATGTACACTGCAGCTCCTAAACTGACTTGTATTCAGCAGTAGATTTTACCGGCGTTTCAAACGCCAAACGTTTGCAAACACGTGTAAACGCTTGTAAATGCAGTTAACCACGTTTATGAGGGTTTGCGTTTAGAAGCATTTTTTAACTGTTCCATATCCAGATGCTGTCCAGAGCCATTTTTTCATCATCAGAAATGCATGCAAAGTGTTTTCCATGTATTCAAATGGACCCGGTAGACCAGTGCAGTCAGTTCCAGGTTTCGGGTGAAGGAAAAAATGGTAGAACGTGCCGCATTATGCTCATGATGGGATCCATAGTGAATACAACCAGAAAAGACAGGTCATTTCAACACATACTGCTCTTTCTGCTTCTGCTCTCTCTATTTCTCTCAAATTGCCTGAAATAGTTAATTTTTTACTTTTTTTCAGTGCATTCTGGGCATTTGGGAAGGTCTCCTGAGGTTATCTTTTAAAAATGCTTCTAAATGCAAACGCACATAAACGTGGTATGCAAACGCAGCTAAACAGACGTTTTTTTAACCTACGTTTTCTGGCAGTCAGTTTCCATCGTTCAGAAGAGTTTTCCAAATGCCCCGTGTACATGAGCTCACCCTAAGAATAAAGTTCCCAATTAAGTCATTAGTGGCAATTGACATGGTGAATAACTATGACTTTTGTCATTACAAAAAATGAACATAGGGTAGAGGAGAGCTTGTAACATTTACTAAGTGTTTTGTGAGATCATACCAGTATTTGGCAGTTTATAATTAGTAAAGTATAACTATAGGTAAAATAAAAAAATACATATATAATAAAGTTTTTCATTAGCATTAAGACAAGAGTTTTTCTTATTTCCTAGAGGTACTCCATTACATAATTTCATGGTGAACTGCACATAAATGGCACTCCAATGTTATCATCCTGTGAGCAGGGTAGTCTTTGATGGAGACATAGTTTTTGGGCCCATTTATATTTGTGCAGTGCATTATGTTGGTCATTAACAAGGGTTGCATTAAGGCAGCATGTTCATGGAAAAAAAACTCATAATGTCCAAATCAGACAATGCTCTTTTTTGTATGCTCTTTTTTTTAAGGTAATGCTCTATCGTACGTTGAGAAATGCTACAACATAGGTGCAGCGGGAAAATGAATGGCACTGCATCGCATCAAAATGTGTAACACTTAAAAGTCCAACTCTAGGATAAAAGTAACCCTCCTTCCCACCCCCCTCTTTCTGATTGCTGGATTTTAAAAAATCCCCATTTTCACTTACACTAAGCTGTGGTCATGTGACCATCCAGCGCTGGGTCTTTCTCTTCTCTGCAATCTTCCCAGGTACTTCCTTCTTCCATGTGCCTTTGTCATGTAGGAATTCCCATTGGATGGTCGGCAGAGAGGTCCTTGTAGGGACCAGAAAAGAACTGATATCAAGCCAACTGGCTGATAAAGATTAACATGTACCGCTAGACTAGAGGTCCCTGCAGGCAGAAACGGTGCCAGCGAGGGACCTGGATGGTGATATAACTGGTTTCACCATGCCTTTTCTGGATAGATTGGCCTTTTACAGGAAGTGGAAACATAACAGATCTACTGGCAGGATCAACAGGTAATAAAACTGTTACATACGTAACACAAATTAAAATGGCTGTGTTAATTCTACTGACAGACTGCATCTTATGCATCATATTCACTTTGGCCATAGTTACAACAGAAGTGATTTTGCTTCCTGTCAGTTATGGTTCCTTCTCTGTTCTAAGAATTATTTCTTGGCACTGTTTTGGTTGTGTCCCAAAAACTCCTGAAATACAGGTATTTTGGTAATTATATCATATAAAACATACAGAAACACACTCAATGAATCTTGTTTGTGCCGTCTTTCTATGATGTAATGGTTCCAGTGCAGTGGACGCCAAGGGAATAAGTGACCGTTGGTTGCCTCTGATCTGCAGCGGAGATTAGAAGTGAACAGTACACATGTTGCACATGAGAGTGTTTGTTTGGAGTCTGTGTCATGTCCGAATCTTGTTCAACAAGTTCTTTGTATTTACTGGCCCAAGTGAAACAATCATGATACTGTTTATAGGGATGAAAACAATCTTTGTACATCACATGCTAGGATATGAGTTGAGTATACCATCATATGTCATGTGGTATGTCATGAATGCGCAAATAATGCAAAGATACCGCATATACAAATAACAAAAAAGAAGGAAAATACTAGAATGAAGCTTTCTAAATCCTTGTACATAAAAGGAAGATCTAGGAAAGTCTTTAATGTCTGTCCTAGCTCATAAGGTTCTGTCCACCTTAACTAGACATTCAGCTATGGATCTAGGGCTTATCACACATGGGTTGATTATAATTCTAAAGTCTAGCACACACTATGAGAAAATCAAACGACCAATCTTCTGATTTTCCATGAGTGCATATCATGGTCTAAGAAAATTCTTGTCTGACAAAGACAAAAGTAACTACATACTAGCATAGTAGAAGAGGAAGTGTGGGGTCGTTCTTTGCTTCTGATCATGCACATTTTTTTCAATTTGTTCATTTCTGTACGATTACTGTACACATTATCCAGAAAATCAGACATTGTGTTCACATGTGATAAATATTTTCTAGTTTGCACCCTTGGTTTTTGTCGAATCAGATAATCGGCCGAATGTCTCTCGTATGGAAATTTTCGTACAATTTTCTTATCATGTGTACAGGCCATAAGGAACTTTGGTTGTGAGTTACATATGGTGCACTTACTGAAATATCAATAATATGTAATGCATGAAGAAAAAAAGACAAGCTGAGACATTTTAAAATGGCAGTGGTAGGTACACAGTGCTGGTTCCTCTAGAGCAGTGGTTCTTAACCTGGGTTCAGGGGTTCGGTGAGTCAGTCTCGCGGGTTCGGCGGAGGTGAAGACCCACACCCGACTCATATGATTCGTGCAGTAAATATTCATTATGTTTTTGTTTTTGTGTTGAAAATCATCATGTTTTAATGGTTTTGTTCTTTGTTCTTAATGGTTTTGTTCATTTTGTGCACCTATGTATAAATATATACCTAAATATATACCTATGTTTTGAATTTGAAAAATCATATTTTATTTTTCCAATTAAGAAGGGTTCGGTGAATGCGCATATGAAACTGGTGGGGTTCAGTACCTCCAACAAGGCTAAGAACCACTGCTCTAGAGGTTCCATGAGCTATGACTGACTGACCTCCCATTTGATGGTGCCTGCATAGTTCCATGGCCAATGCCACTTGGCAATCTGAACCCCAATGAATTGGTTTTAGCAGGGGTTCAACAAAATGGAAAATTATTTTAGGGATGCCTTTGGTGTAAAAAGGTTGATAAAGATTGGTGTAGAGATTGTGAAAAAGGGTGTCAAGGCATTGTAGAAAAAAAAATTGTGTGTGTGTATATATATATATATATATATATATATATATATATATATATATATATATAGAATGGATTAGCTTCCATCCACTGCCTGAGATACAGCAAATATTACACCAACAATTTATACAAACTGGTTGTTTTATTCATTGTGTGTTGAGATGTAAAGTCAAATGGGGAAACATTCTCCTGAATTAAAACTTCCACTTGGCCACATAGTCAATCTAGAAAGGAACCCCTCAAATAACAGCATTCTGAAGAGCACGAGTTAGCCCTAAAAAGAGATGTAGCGCCCCTATTTTTACTGTGTTATTAATACCATCCTAATACCTTAATAATGGCATGATAGCAACAGCCATCTGGTAAGCCCACTTACCAAAATATAAACTGCTGGTCCAGATGCTGCTGTACTGTTGAATAAGCAGCTCCCAGTCACCGGTAGAGGGAGCTCTTGAGAGTTGGAAAATGGTTCTGCGTTACCTCTATGAGCAGTCCTCCTGTCCTTCAATAGCTCCCTCTAGTTGTGGCTGGGAGAAGTCTGTTTAGCAGTACAGCAGGATGTAAACCAGATGTGCTCCAGGTGTGCATGGTGGTGATCAGGGCACTGGTATAAGGTATGGCAGTGATTAGGATGCTGGTATGGGATATGGCGGTGATCAGGACGCTGATATGGGGTATGGCGGTGATCAGGATGCTGGTATGGTGCATGGTGATGATCAAAATGCTGGTATGGTATGTGGTGGTGATCAGGGCGCTGTTATGATATATGGCGGTGATCAGGGCGCTGGTAAGGCATATGGCGGTGATCAGGGAACTGGTATGGCATATGTGGTTATCAGGGCACTGGTATGGCATATGGCGTTGATCAGGATGCTGGTATGGGGCATGGCGGTGATCAGGGCACTAGTATGAGGTATGGCAGTGATTAGGATGCTGGTATGGGGTAAGGCAGTGATCAGGATGCTGATATTGGGTATGGCGGTGATCAGGACGCTGATATGGGGTATGGCAGTAGACAGGGCACTGGTATGCGGTATGGCAGTGATCAGGATACTGGTATGGCGCATGGTGGTGATCAGGATGCAAGTATGATGCATGGTGGTGATCAGGACGCTGATATGGGGTATGGCAGTAGACAGGGCACTGGTATGCGGTATGGCAGTGATCAGGATACTGGTATGGCGCATGGTGGTGATCAGGATGCAAGTATGATGCATGGTGGTGATCAGGATGCTGGTATGGGGTATGGCGCTGATATGGCGCATGGTGGTGATCAGGAGAGCTGGAGCTGCTATGAAGGAGTCAGGGAGACATCGGAGATGTGGAGACTGTCAGCTAACAAGGTGGTGATCTCGGAGCAGACAGTGCACTGTATGGGGGATCTGGATGGGATCACAACTGATCTGACAAGTAGGAATCTGGATCTTGATAGGATCAGGATGGCCATGGGGAAGATGCTGTGGGTACCAACAATTGCAGCAGGCAACGCCTGGATGCATGCCCGGCACCACCGATATCACTGGGTCTGCCTGTATAGGATTGACCACAGGGAAGATGCTGTGGGTGCCGGCAATTGCATCAGACAGCCCAGCAACACACCTGGATGGATGCACCTTCCGTCCCCTCCATATCACACAAGCTCAGTCAGCCTCAGCTGCACCCGGGCAGGGAAGATTCAGTGCAGGCTCAGTCGCACTGAACAGAGAGTTGCGCTGTCACTTTTAAATGCAGAAGTTGGGCTTCTGTATGTAGAAGTGACAGCAGTGAGAAGAAAACACAAGACTAGCACTGGAGGTAGTGGAACCCATGGGCATTACTCTCTTTCTCCAGGCTGCTAGAAAGGTCCCAAGCAAAGTGCACTTGGTATAACTCCACCTTGGACAGGAGCCAGCGCTACAGAGGAACCATCGGCTTATGCGGCTCCTGCTCACTCCGTGGCTGCCTGCTTCCTCCTCTGCCGGCTCAATGCTTTCTGATGTTCTCGGATGATGGGTCGACAAGCCCAGATTGCATACAATGGGTTGCCGACCCCAGTCATGTGCTTCCCTGGTTTGAAGTCAAGGACCACATCAGAGAGCTCCGAGGGTCATGGGTTGAGCACACCTGCTGTAAACAAATGGCAGGAGTCTGCAGAACATAGGCTTGGGGAATACACTTTTTAGTAAAGTCCTGAGAGCTTTTTAGTAATATACAGGCTCCAATTTAGTTTATATGTACCAACTGAAGGGACAATAACAGCTAAAGGATCAGCAATAAAAGTTATATTATCTCTAAGTCTTATTTTGAGCTATATTTGTCAGCATAGAAATTAAAAAAACAAAACGGATTGGCACAATGTCCTCAATACTGAATTGCTCATTTGTTTCAAAACAGTCTGCAGTCTCTGTCTTTAGACATGGATTATCAGATTTATTGCAACCTCTGATCCTCTCACATAATCCATGGTCATTCTTGTCAAATATGGATTTATGTGTGGCCATGTGGAAACCATCCGCATACAGACAATAATAAATGTTTATACAGTGCTCAGCATAAATGAGTACACCCCTTTTGAGAAGTAAGATTTTAATCAATATCTCAATGAACACAAGAACAATTTCCAACAAAACTGAGTTTTACAGAACATTTGTTTAGCTCATTACATAAAATTCAGGTTAATAAAATAATTTTACAAAATTTTCAGTTTTATACAAATTAGTTGATGCAAAAATGAAAAAACACCCCACAACAAAAACTACTACATCAAGTATTTTGTGGGACCTCATTGATTTGTAAGGATAGCACCAAGTCTTCTAGATATGGAATAAACACGTTGGTGACATATTGCAACATCTATCGTTTTCCATTCTTCAAGAGCGAGTTTTAGAGTTTGGTGCTGGATGGAGAGTGATGCTCAACTTGTCTCTTCAGAATTTCCCATAGGTGTTCGATTGGGTTCAGATCAGGAGACATACTTAGCCACGGAATCACTATCACCCTGTTCTTCTTCAGAAATGCAACAGTGGCCTTAAATGTGTGTTTTCGATCATTGTCACATTGGAAACGTGCAGACGTCCAAGGGCAAGGAGCGATGGTAGCATCTTCTCTTTCAATATAGAGCAGTACATCTGTGAATTCATGATACCATCAATGAAATGCAGCTCCCCAACACCAGCAGCACTCATGCAGCCCCACAGAAGGACACTGCCACCACCATGTTTCACTGTAGGCACAATGCATTTTTATTTGTACTCCTCACCTTTGTGACACCATACAGTTTTGAAGCCATCAGTTCCAAAAACATTTATCTTGGTCTCATCGCTCCAGATTACAGAGTCCCATTAGTCTTCTTCTTTTTCAGCATGGGCCCTGGCAAATTCTAGGTGGGCTTTTTTTGTGCATGGGCTTTAGGAGAGGCTTCCTTCATAGACAACACCCATGTATGCCATTCCTCTGCAGTGTATGCTGTATTGTGTTATGGGAAACAATCACCCCAGTTTGGCTTTCTACTTTAGCTAACTGCAATGAACTTGCATGGCGATTTTCTTCAACCCTTCTCATCCTGTCAAGGTGTTAACAACCGTGGATGGCCTGGACGGCCCTGTGACATGGTTGCAGTTCCATCTTTGTTAACTTTTAGTACTACTACTGCTACAGTATTCTGATTGATAAGTAAAGCTTTGCAGATCTTCTTGTAGCCCTCACCTTTCTTGTGTAAAGAAATTATTTTCTTTCTCAGGCCTTATGACATTTCTCTTCCATGTGGTGCCATTGCTGACAGCATGAAATGGGAAGGGTTTTTCCCTTTTATAATCAACTGTCTGCTGGACTGTTTAATGAATAATTAGGCTCACGTGTAGTTGAATTCTTGTTTTTATTAGGATTTTGTTGTCTAAAATGTAGCTTTGCTCCTAAGACTTTTTATTGGGGTGTATTCATTTTTGCAACATGGTCTTGAATGAATTTGTTAGGAAAAATACTTTTTTTGTGCGTACAAATTAACAAATCTTGTTTGCAATCAATGGCCCGCATTTGTGGGAGTGTTTTGTAGTATAGTGTCCCAAAGAAAATGTTGATTCTGAAAGGAAAGTAAAGCTTTTCTGACAAATCTTTTCGGGTGTACTCATTTATGCTGAGCACTGTATATTAACACTAAACAAAATGTTTGAACATGTTGGGAAAAGTTGACTCATAAAGTTCTTTCACAAATACACATCTTATGTAGAGTAGAGTGGAATTCAAGGCAAGAATCTATTTACACAGCTGAAATTATATATATATATATATATATATATATATATATATATATATATATATATATATATATATTATATATGTCACGGTATAGGGGCTCTGCCAATTATTAATTTCTGCATTAATCTCTTCATTAATTCCTTGTGCCAAATGTTCCCAAATTTAAGTGCTGTATGTCCTCCCTGCCACCCTGCTAAATGTCCCCAAATTCCATTGTCATCTTGGCCCCCTCACTGTTACCCCTGTATATGCCACGCAGGACGAGAGGTGTGGCTTTCACCACCCCTGCCACTATCTTCTCCTCCTCCGGCGCGGCCGGAGAGGAGAAGGTAGCGAGGTTCACACCTCTCCGCGGAGAGGTGCAAACCTCCTGCGGGGATGTTCCGGGCCGCGGCGTCAGACTGACGCCACCCCGGCCCTGTCATCCGCAGTGCGGGCACGGGCAGTTCCCGCGCTTGCGGATGTACCTGGACAAAGTTGCCAGGACGACCGGAGAGCGTCCTGCATCAGCTTAAGAGGCTGATGTCGGGCTCTCCAGTTATCATTCTCCCCTGCGCAGCCATCAAGGGAGCCCAGCTCCGACGGGACCCTCGTGGCTAACTCTGCTAGAAGCCCCCAAGGATACGGGGGACCCCACACATGCTAGCCTGCCTGAGACCCCCACCCAAAGGGGGGAGACCACACAAGCTAGCCTGCCTGAAGACCCAAGCCAAAGGGGGGAAACTGCTCAAGCCAGCCTGCCTGAGACCCCCAGCCAAAAGGGGGAGACCGCACCAGCTAGCCTGCCTGAAGACCCCCAGCCCAAAGGGGGGAAACTGCAAAAGCCAGCCTGCCTGAGACCCCCAGCCAAAAGGGGGAGACCGCACAAGCCAGCCTGGCTGAGACCCCCAGCCAAAGGGAGAGACCGCACAAGCCAGCCTGCCTAAGACCCCAGCTAAGGGAGAGACCACTCGCCTACTCCGGAACCCAACAGGTACCTGTGTCCTACTATCTTATCCCTGCTTTCCCTTGTTTTACCTGAACTGTTCCTGCACTGCCCCTACCCCCCTTGTTGGATTACAATCTGCTACAGAGACTTTTCCTTTTCCCTTGGGGCTGGACTCAAAGTGTTTTAGCCCTCTCCTTGCTGTTCCCCTATTGGCGAGGTCACCCTCCCTGCAATCCCCCCATTGAGTAACTGTCATTTTTTGTCTCAATAAAGCTTTGTGCGTTTGCCATCTGCTCTGTGTGTTCTGTCCTGCCTACCCTCCGTCACAATATATATATATATATATATACTTCTCAAATTGACAAATGCTTTGCATTTCTTTTTAGCTAGTCTGAAGATGATGTTACTCCTCCTAGACAGCAGAATGAGGTCATTGATTTCCCTGCAGGCTGCCGTTACGCAATACAATAGGTCACCCCTGCCTTGGATTGGATTATGAAGAAACAGCAGCACACTGATGATGCCATCTCTCTGCCCTCCCCTACTTCATTCACAATCAGATATGGGCACTGCGGCAGAGTTTGATTAGCTCTTAGTGCTGTCCTCCCTCTCCGTTTGAACTCTACTGCTAAATAACTGATTTAGCAGTAAAGTTTACTGGCCCACCCCGAGTTTGATTCCTTGCTATATT